GCTGAAGAATATGACCTTGACCTAAGTGATTGGTGATAGACGACGTAAGAAGACTGTAAAGCAAATGGTAAAACTGCAGTTAGTCGAGAAAGGGGTGCTGGTGGCTAAGCAAGAGGGGCCTGGTCCATCGCTAGCTGCACATTCACTTTTTTCAGGCAACTCAACTTTTGAGCAGAGAAAATAATTGCTTTTATTGCAGTTTTCTCATAATAAAGAGAAATCAGGGTTGGAACTAGAACGGCAAAAGATTGAAATAGAAAAGCATAAGTTGGAGGCTGAAAAGCAAGTGGCGATTGAGCGTTTGAAACAGGAGACAGAGCAGCAGAAGTTGGGACTAGTCAGAGATGGTAAGCTTTCTGGGGATATGTTGCGACAGGAAGGAAGATCTTTGGAGTCAGGTTCTCCAGATGTTTTTGCTAACTTTCGTCTCTTGCCTAAATTTAATGATCGGGATCCAGATGTGTTTTTCTCTCTGTTTGAGCAGATTGCAGAAGCAAGGACTTGGTCAGACACCGAGCAGGTTTTGTTATTGCAGTGTGCGTCATTAAGTAACAGTAATCTATCTTATCAATCAGTCAAAGCTGCTGTGTGTTTGACAGGTGATCAGCTAATTGACTGTTTAAAAAAGAGAACTGGTCGCTGCTGGGAGAGCTTGTGTCCCCCACAAAATGTAATACAGTCCACAATCCATGATAGTGATTTAACAGCTCGTTGTGTCTCTGTACAGGATGCAGTGACCCTCATTAAGCAATCACAGCTTTACGCTATTTCCAATGTGGCTCGTGCTGCATTCATGTTTCCTTATTTTGTCAGATAAATATTTTATATCCACAATTCCTTGTTGGGTCCAAGTCGTGTCTCCTCCAAACAGCAAACATGGGAAACAGAAAAGTGAATTATTAGCTACACTTGCTGTTAGCCAGTCTGTTAGCTGAAACCACGTAACACAAAAAAAAGATTTTTTCATTTGTCCTTTTGTGTTATTTGTACAGTAGTTTGGATGATGTGTCTCCAATCTCTTTACTTCCAATTTTTCCTCCAATGACTTTAAAGAAAATTAATTAGAAAGTAAATAATCCATCTCGTTCATGTTCATGCTAACGCCCGCCATTAGACCCCCTGCAGTTCGCCTACAGAGCCAACAGGTCTGTAGACAATGCAGTAAAACGTGGCCCTGCACTTCATCCTCCAGTATCTGGACTCCCCAGGAACCTATGCCAGGATCCTGTTTGTGGATTTCAGCTCTGCATTCAATACCATCATCCCAGCTCTGCTACAGGAAAAGCTCTCCCTGCTCACTGTGCCTGACTCCACCTGCAGGTGGATCACAGACTTCCTGTCTGACAGGAAACAGCACGTGAAGCTGGGAAAAAATGTCTCTGACTCTCAGACCATCAGCACCGGATTCCCCCAAGATTGCGTTCTTTCTCCTCTGCTCTTCTCCCTGTACACCAACATCTGCACCTCCAGTCACCAGTCCGTCAGGCTCCTGAAGTTCGTGGATGACACCTCCCTCATTGGGCTCATCTCTGATGGAGATGAGTCTGCCTACAGACAGGGGTGGACTGGCCATCTGGCATACCGGGCATCGTCCCGGTGGGCCGTTGACCCAATGTGGTCCGGACCGGTCCGCTATTTTTTTTGTTTTCTTTCTCTCTCTAAATTCCCTCCAGTTGGGCCAGTTGGCTACAGAGGGCTAGCAGTGTGTTGCCAGCATCGACACATATTATTGGTCTATGTTTGTCATTGTCAATCAATCAGTGCTGTCAATCACAACACAAACCAGGGTGGGCGGGACCTCATGGCATGGGAGTGGCGGGAAGGGCTGCTGCTGAGCTGAAGATGGATAACCGTAAGAAACGCCCGGGTGGCGCTGAAACACTGCGACTTAAAAAGCTGAAGTCTCTGGAGGTGGAAGCTGCTAAATGTTGGACATTGACAGACCTATTTGGTGCCGGGGTCACCACCCCAGCAGGTGCTGCTGCGCCGGGAGACGAGCGAGTGGAGGCAGACATGGTGAGTAACGTTAGCCTGGTTTTTCCATTGAATGTGATGGGACCTCATTAACTGCATACTTGTGACAACATATTACAGATGAGATACTTTGAATTTTAGCACAAAATACAAGTAAACCTGTAGCACATTTTCAATTTTGAAGTTTATTAAAAACAGACTCAGAAGCTCTCATCTGATAAACTGGAGGCATTTATGTTGATGGCCACAGAGAAAGACATTCTCATGGCCTTGGACTCTGACTCTGTGATAGATTGCAGAGAAGAGTGAGCTGCTTAAAAAGCTGCTCCACTGATAAGGCGAGAAATATTTAATATTATTGTTATTATCACACATTATGGATGTAGTAATTCATTATTTGTCATTTTAATGATGCTTTTAGAAGTTTTATTGTGCTTATGTGTTGATCCTTAATGGTGTGATCATGTACACTAAATGATCAATTATTCTCCATTACAGGTTGTTCTGATATATTTGAGGAGTCGTTCTCCCTCTGTTCTATATGTGGACTTGTTCTCTCATTTGGGACCAAAGTTTATCATGTATTTTTTAATATTATATAAATTCATACTTCATAATTATAATAATTAAAAAAAAGTTTTAAAAGAAAAGCCCATCCAAAAAGTTTTCAACTCTAGGTTCAGGACAGAGGAAAACATTGTCTTTATTTTTCAGAATGAATAATGTATCCAATAATCTCTCAGGTTGACCACTTGACATGTGAGAGCCTGAGGAGTTGTTCCCCCTCCGTCCATTTTCAAGGACTTGCTCTCTCTCTGCCTCCACTTCACCACTGTTTGGCTACTGAGACGTCTCTGATTGGTTGAGTATGTCATGTGTCTTATAATGTTATATGAATTCATACTTGATTTGTGATGATGACTTAATAATGTTTCCATGTCTCTTTTAGGTTGACCACCCTATATATGAGAGCCTAAGGAGTTGTTTTCCCTCTGTCCCCTTTTGAGGACCTGCTTTGTCTCCTCCATCATTCACTGGGTTATTTCATGTGGTGAGAGGAATGCAGAGAGAGCTTCGTCTTGACTTTGTGAGGTTATTATGCAACTTGTTTTGTCTCAGATTGAAACAAAAGGTTTGATTAGGATTATTTCCTGGTTGAAGATTTTCATATTGATGATTTGAATTTCAAACATCTGCATATCTTTTAAGTTCAATGAACAGTTATGCAGGTAGGCCTTAGGGCTCTTTTGAGACTTCAGTCATCCTTCATGACAGATACATTTGTTCACTAAGTGACACTACATCTCAGAAAGGCTACATGGCTACATATACTTGTCAGTACACAGATACTGAGTACAAGTTGTGTTTGCTGTTTCTTGCAGGTCATGAATTTGGTGAGGAGTGGAGCTGGCTGGCTGCGGACGAGGAAGTAGGGCAATATATACATGTGCACATACACGTATATGAGAATGCATATCTATTCAGACCTGTAATTCATGTCTTAGACTTTTTCACACAGCTATAGATCATTATTTTATGGTTCCATAATGACTGAGTCACCATTAAAACAAATGAGTTTCAGCTCTAATGCTGCTACTGTCTGTAATATGTTTCTATTTAGATTATTTGTCAGGAGATTTTGTTATTATTGTCCCAGTCTGCTTTTAACTAATGCTGGGCTTACACCAAAAGATTTTCACAGTCACAGACTAAAAACTGAAAGGGTAGCATGAGGGTTCTTCCCGTTAGTCTCGTCCCACCCCTAGTCATGACATAACTTCTGTTGTGATTTGACACTATAATGAATAAAGACTGATTGATTGATTGCTATAGCTGTCAGTTTTAGTCCTTGAGTTCATAGTTACGTGCTTTATTTGTTAACTGCTATCAAGGAATATGACTCTCCTTTGTAGTATGCATGAGAGGAGATGCTGCAAGATTTGTGGACTTCTATGTAGTGTCTGCTGATAATGTAGTGGGCTGGTCTGGACACAAAATGCCAGGGCTGAATTTTTGTCCCAGTCCACCCCTGCCTACAGATGGGAGATTGACCATCTGGTGACCTGGTGTAGCCAGAACAGCTAAACACTCTGAAAACAGATGGTTGTGGACTTCAGAAAGAACACAGCCCCATCCGCCCCCATCATCCTGTGTGACTCCCCAGTTGACTCTGTGGAGTCCTTCAGCTTCCTGGGTACCATCATTACCCAGGACCTCAAGTGGGAGAACATCAGCTCCCTCACCAAGAAAGCCCAGCCGAGGATGTACTTCCTGCGGCAGCTGGGGAAGTTCAACCTGCCAAAGACGATGATGGTGCACTGGGTTTTTTCTATATTTCTATATGTATATATATGAGGACTATACACGTAGTTCAAGCTAAAGAGAGTGATGATGGTTTTTAAAAGTGACTATGGTATTGTTGCTGAGTTCAATCAAATCAACAACATATAATCATATCTCTCTTGTTTAAATAAGGTCTTCCTATTAACTGTAATGGCTCTATTAGGTTAATATGCGCTGTGAAATGATGTGCAAATGTTAAAGTTTCCAATTATACAAGATCTGTTTGGGCAGTTTGTAAATCTCCAAATGACATTTGAGTAAAACTTCCAAGCAGCAGTAAATAGAAGTATTATGAGACCATGTGTTAATGTGAGTGTGTGATTTATGTGTATTCCCTCTCATTTTAGCTAGCGTTTGTGTCATTTTGTTTCCATGGAGACAACTCATTTGTGCCAGAGCCCATTCAAAAAATAGTGATTTCTAAGTTTGTTTCTCTTCAGAGCGAATAAATAAATCTTGTAGGAATATAAATGTAAACCTTTTCTGTTCAACAAGTTCCAGTCTATAATTCGGCATAGTTGTCATTGTGAAATTCTTCTTATTAATTTGAATATAAAGACAAGTTATGAAATGAGTCCACGCTGCTCACCGGGGCTGTCCACAGGGCGTACTCTTTAATAACTGTGGGACATTAGAGATTTTACAGCAGGAAGCGCTGCTCAGTGGATATTATTGGAGCCGATATGAAGGGTGAACACTAAAGAGCCACAATAGTCTTCTGAGTTACAAGTTAACATTTAATATTATTGTCTTATGACCATTGGATTAGTATTTAACAAGATTTCTGAATGGAGTTCTGCGTGATAGACAGCCACCCACCAAAAATGTTTCAATATTTTCTGCTTTTCTTATTCTTCACTGATATCATAGTAAATATGTTTTGTGTTTTGGACTGTGATTTTTAATATGTCAGCATTTGTGACATTTTATGGATAAAATGATTAATGGATAAAGTAATTAGAGAATGAAAATAATAGTTCCACAGCTTTTGTTCCAGGCTTGTTGTTGGTACTGTACTGTACTACTTTATGTGGCCTCCGCTGTGTGATCAGGACTTTTTAAGTCTCCATGTAAAGAAAACGTTGTCACTAACAAGCTCTACTGCTGCCGCAGGTGGAGGCGTGAAGATCCTGTTTGAGAAGGAGCTCGGTGTGGCAGATTTCCACCTGCCCAACAAAAGCTGCATCCTCTACGTGTCTGAGTGCGACATCATTGCAGGGAACAGCTACAAGAGGAAACTGGTTCGCTACAGAAACGTGAGTTTAATGAGACCGCTGACGAAGCAGTTTGGCTGAACGCCTCTGACGTGATCTGTGTCCGTCCTGTTGTACAGAGCAGCAGTAGTTTCCAGGAGCTGGTGCTGGTGGAGAACACCAGACTCAGTGAGCAGTACTTCTCCGCTGTGCAGAAGTTTGTGGTGTTTGACCTCGGCCTGACTCTGCTGCCGGTCAGCGGGCAGACTGAAGCCTCACAGCTCATCACTCAGATTGTAAGTAGTGAAAAACAAGAAAGCTGCACTTCTCTTTTTGTCTTAATATCCTTACTCCACATTACAGAAATGTCCAGTATGTTCTTTTAAATCTATGAGTTGATTAAAGCGTGAGTGGATGGGAAGATCAGTGTTAGATCTTAGTATCAGGGGATTGTTGCAGCACAGACCTTTTCTCTTGTATCACAGGAAGTCACTTACCAGCGCACAAGAGTCAAACACAGACCTTTGGGGTAAACCTGAGCTGTCTTACTGAAACCTCTTGTAGCAGGACACTTTGTTGTCTGGTGCTAGTTCTCCAACCTGCTCTAATTGTCTCCAGGTTCACGGTGGGGGGGGTCAGGGAGAACCCCTTCAGGAGGAGGACTTCGTCTCAGCTGTTGGACCCGCTGATCCTGGCTCTGGTCCAGCAGGTCCCCGGGGTCGGCAGGGTCAAAGCTCTGGCCCTGCTGCAGCACTTCTCCAGCATCCAGAAGCTCTGCAACGCCGCCCCCGCCCAGCTGGAGCCCATCGTGGGTCATGCTGCAGCTCAACAAATCCACAACTTCTTCCACAAAGCCACTGCTGCTGGAACCTGAAGGTCCGACTCTGGGTCTGCACTCAACCAGGAAAGTTTGGATTGAATCATAATGCAGAAACGCTTCAGCTCACATGGACACTAACTCTTTATTTGAAAGACTGCAATGACAGAAAATCCAACATTGCTGTGTTTAAACTGTAACAAACAATATTTGTTTACTTGTTTGTTTGACTGTTGAGGACCAACAGTGCCGTCCACAGAGCCCCGCTGGTAACAGGGCTGAAAATACTTGGAAACTGATTTAGGTTTGGTGATTGGGCCGCTGAGTTCTCTGCCCTGTGTGGTTCTCTGTTTGTATTTTAGTTTGCACTTTTGCTTCCACAATAAATAAATATTTGTAGCATCAGTTGTCTCTTTTTAATCACTGTTGATGTTCTTGTTGTTGTTTATGAGTTTGAATCCAAAAGATAAACCTCTCACTGCATTTGAGTTATTTTCCCTCTTGTTTTCTTCTTAGTTTGGCTTCAATTTATTTAAACTTAGATATACATAGAGTTTGTGAATAAAAATGTTGTAAAATTAAACCTACATTTGTCACCACAATGTTGAAGTACAATACTTTTTACTTTGTAGATCTCATTATTCTGCATTGATGTAATGTGCTTCAGCATCAGACTGTAGTTATTTATTAAGAGCATGTCCTCATGAGGCCACAGGCTGCAGTTTGTTATGAACTCCACTAGAGGGCGTCCTCAGATGTCACTTATTCTCTACAAACTAGTAGCACTGGTTTAGTGTTCATATCAGCTGCTCCAACACAAACCTTCAATAACACTACATTATCTTACACTACCAACTATCTCAGAGGTGATGGGCTATTGGAGCTCATCAGCTGATGCTGTTTTTAATCACATGATTTGGTGCTCATTAGAAACACCATCAGCTGTTTTTCAGCTTTGATATCAATCAAAAACAAAATAAATGAATCAAATACAATCAAAACTTTATTTAGCTTTTGTTCAGTAATTTGTGTCAGTATGCAACAGTTCTTATATATACAAAGATCAGACAATAAAAAGGTTTGAATTTGGCACCCAGACATTTAAAGAACATGAAAATGTTTATTTATAAGCACAATGTTTTCTAATGATTTAACAGTCTTGAAGGCAGGTAATGCAGTTATTAGAATGAATTAGACTGCATTAGATCATATCAATCAGTGTGGTCAAACTGGTGTGTTGTAGTAATAAGTAGTAATGTGACACATCCAAGAAAAAAAGTAAAAATAACCCATATTGATCAGAATCTGGAAAATACTCAATCTAAACATTGTACATCACCAATAAATATACATTTATTACATTAAATGATGTGAATCTTTCTGTAGAAAATCAAATGGTTGTTCTACTCAGTGTGATTGACAGGAGAGATGATCATTGGGGCAGAGTTTCTACCACCATAATTAAGACTGGGACCAAAGCATGGGTAGAGTTTCTCAGTGAAGGAGCAGCCAGTAAAGGAGTAGATAAGAGCTGCAGCATCAACGTCATAAAAAGAGACCAGACCCTCCTCATAATCCACAAACACCCCCACCTTCTCAGGCTGAGACTTCAGAGAGAGACTGACTGAAGGGCTAGTAGCAGCTTTGTACTCATTTTCATTCCTTAACAGTATCAACCAGTAACCATCCTGAGGTCTCAGTGTGATTATTCCCTTCCTGTTGATCGACTCTCTGGCCACTCCTAGATCCCACTTAGTCTTCCCTTTAACCTGAACCTCGTAATAAAATCTTCCTGAAGAGAAACTCTGCTTTGCTAAGACACAAGTACAACTATCAAATCTCTCTGGATTGTCTGGGAGATTCTTCTTTACATCACCATGTTTAACTTGTTTTCCATCATCAGACAGGATGAGCCAGGGCTGTGCTGTATCAGGATCGAGTGTCACATCCACTGCATACTGCTGGACCCTCTTCAGCTCGACCTCAAACAGCTTCTTCATCTGTTTACTGAGCGTCTCCTCCAGCTGATTCACAGCTCTCACCACAGTCCCCTCATATGAAGGTGGACAGACGCTGACTTCTGTCCAGTCCTTGGTGGTTGGAGCAGCGTTCAGAGACAGGAAGCTTTGGAGGAGGTGGAGGTGGTCTTCAGACTGTGAGAGCTGCTCCACCTCAGAGCTTCTCTTCTTCAGCTCAGAGATTTCCTGTTCCAGCTCTTTGATGAAGTCTTCAGCCTGTTTCTCTGTCTTTCTCTGCTTCTCTTTGATCGTGTCGATGAGCTCCGCCTGGCTTCTCTCAACAGACTCCTTCAGAGCGGTGAAGACCTGAACACCATCTGCTATCTCTCTGTCTGCACCTTCCTTACTGAGCTCCACTGAGCGTTTGATCTCCTGAATCTTCAGTTGTCTCTTCTGGATCATCTGCTGAATTTCAACCTCTGTCTTTCCCAGCTCGGCTTTGTTTCCTTTCTGTTGAGCTGACTGTCTGAACTGAGCAGCCATCTCAGAGATGAAAGTATTGACCTTCAGCTCAGGTCTTGTGTTGAAAACCTCTTTACAGTTGGGACACTGACACTGGACATTGATATTCCAGTGTTCAGTGATGCAGGTTTTACAGAAGTTGTGTCCACATGGTATGGTGACTGGATCAGTGAACACATCCAGACAGATGGAGCACAGAAACTGATCTTCAGTCAGCAGACAGCTGGCAGCAGTCATATCTACACTGTGAGGATGAAAAGAAAAGAAAATGTAATTGCATTTCTTTTGGTTATTTGTTTAATAAAATCATGATAATCTCTGATCAATGAAATAAAAGGAGAGAGTCGAGGTGTGTTTCCTTTCTTTCTCTGTGGTTTTACATCATTTTTGAAGGGGACTTCTGTTTGATCCCTAACTGCTGCCCGTCACTGATATGACTGTAGCATTTGGCTATTAACTGCTTGTTAGTTATTCAAATAATATTAAAAAGAATAAATCAATGATGAATTAATCTGATGTTTTACACATTGCAGTAATAACATCCCAGTCCCTCTGGTTCTTGTTAATATCCTTATTTATATCTGTAAAATAATAGTACAATTACATTTTAAACCCTAAAAACATAGTCTGATCCCTCCATTACACAGCACACATTAAATAATATCACTATATAATAATATAAAATAATAATATAATCAGGGACGGCTGGTGTATATGGGCTAACAGGGCTAAGCCCTCCCCATCTTTTACAGTAAAGATGGAAAACTATTATTAAAAACCTTAGAACATATTGTTTTGAATTTTGGTAGAACGTAGAGCAGCAACAGCAACAAACAGTGACAGAAAAAACCCAGGATATATGATCTATCTTGGGGTTTTCCTGGGAATGGGCTTCATTTTTACAGCGCAAGCTACAGTAGGGTAAGCTTCCATTCACTTTGGATTGTCAGGTGTCGTGACACGCCTCTGACCAATCACAGCGCAGTAGCTACAGTACAGTGACCTTCGACCAATCACAGCGCAGTAGCTACAGTACAGTGAGGCTAGTTCGTAGTATGGCGGGCGTTAGCATGAACATGAACGAGGTGGATTATTTACTTTCTAATCAATTTTCTTTAAAGTTATTGGAGGAAAAATTGGAAGTACAGAGATTGGGAACACATCATCCAAACTACTGTACAAACAACTCAGAGAGGTGTTTCAGTACACTGAAGAGGATCCTCTCTTAGAAGTACAATGGGACAGGACGGGCTGAACGCACTGGCTATGCTGTCCATTGAGTGGGACCTAATCCAAAAATCAGCAGACTTTAATGAAATGGTGATTAACCTGTTAACCTGTCGATGTGAGCTGCTTTTTAAACAAGGTATGCCCTGAAACAACTCTCTCTTCTACAAATACTGTTATTTTGGTTTTGTAGATTTATTTTCGGTACATGGTGCAAATTGTTGCTGGTACTTTTCTATAATGTTGTTGTAGCGCAATTGGCATGTGCTGATGTGTACAGAAGAGAGAGAGGGAGAGAGAGAGAGAGAGAGAGAGAGACTTTTTTTGGCATCAGATATTTCTTTTGGGTTTGTCTCTCCAGTGTTGCCATAGAGCACTTTGCTATAAGAAAGTACACAATGTTGTTGCTGTAACTTGATGTGATGCTGCTGTTGCTGCTGTGTGACGTATTGATGAGTGTAATGCATTTGTTAGCCCACCCACCCAAAATCTCCACCAGCCGGTCACTGAATATAATAATATAATAATATAATACTATAGGGCCCTGAGTGGAACTTCCTGTCTGAGTAGAGCTCAGGTTTTGTGTTAATACCGGTTGTTGAAACACAGTAAATATTATCAGCTGTACTGCCTCCCAGAGACAGACAGCAGGAAGCTATAAGCTGTAAAACGTCAGTTTTATTCCTTTATAAGCAATAACAGAGGTTGTCAGATGATCACATACTCTACTCTGTACTTTGGATCTAAAGGACAGCTAATAGGCTAGTTACCTTTTAGCAGGACTAGTTTCTGTGGTGTGTTTTCATTGTTTGGTTGGATTTAGCTCCTTCCTTCTATCTGTATGTGCTATAACAGACTGTAACAAGCTCTGTAGGGCAGTGGACTCACCAGAGGTTGGCAGAGATTCTGCTGTTTAGTTGAGAAAAACCTGATGGATTCAGTTGAATTTGTCTTCAGAGACAAACAGAGAGACTTGTCTCCACTGCAGCTCTGCTGTCTTCAGACAAACTTTCACTTTCATTTACAGGAAATGTGTCACTGAAGTTAACCACGCCCCTTCATTTGCATATGACCTCATCATAAAAGCCCCCTGAAATAAATAAAAGTAGTCCTTATTGTAAGTCCTTCTACAAATCAGAACCTGTTCATTTGTTTATTGAACTATACTGACTTATCTATATATTTCATTTATATATTTATATGTATAAATGTGTATATAATTATTGCCATATTTATGTATTTTTTTTTAATAATGACTAAAATGGACTTTCTTTTTAAAATTAAAAAGTCTGTAAATGTGCATATTTTGACCAGATATCTGCAAATGAACAAACTATTTCACATAACTGTTTTCTTCATCAGACCAACTAGATCTCTGAGCCGAGAGGCAAAGACTTTTTTTTCTGTTCTTCCTTGGTTAGTGGGCAGTGCACGAGACAAGTGCATAAATGCTGATGATTGGCTGAGGTTGAGTAAAATTTCATGGTAAGCCAATCAGAGGTAGAGTTGGGCGGGTGTTCGAAAGCATGCATAGTCGGACACACAACGAACAACACAAGCGAGTCAGTCAACGAGAGACAGGTATGGCGAGCCCAAATAATCCAAAAGTAGCCTTCTCTAAATGGAAGTATAGCCAATTTAATTTAGATTTATTTGTTGGCTGGCTGCAGCCTCTTGAAGTGAGATTGTCAATGGCCAGAGAAAGAGATTTATTTTTATGGAGATGTATTTTTTATTTTTTATGTATTACCTGTTTATATTTGGATTCCTTAGTTTTGCTATACATTGTACTTTTCAGTTCGATTGAAAGCACCTCATATTGTTACACTGTTCTACTTTTTCGAGGAAGAAAATACTTGAAGTACAGTATATCTACCAATTGTCTGAAGTTTTTTTTTGTTTATTTGCACTACAATACGGAGCTACGGAGCCCCTAAAGGGACATGGGGGAAAAAAAAAAAAAATGAAACGTTTCTAGTGCGCACTAGATACTATCTAGAACTATCTAGTGCGCACTAGATAGTATCCATATTGTGGCGAATCAACACATGGCTAATTTGAATATTCAAATGAGTATTAAACTAATTTGTCTGTAACTAAAAAATAAATGTAAATGAGTCTGTAACCTTTTTTGTTACAGTCCGCATTTAAATGCCCTGTCCTGCAGCCGGACACTCATTTGTCCTCCTTTTGAGAAAATAACAAAAACAGTCCACCTTTTGACACATTAGTTTAATACATATTGGCTTAAAATGTGTGTCAAAATAAGTAATTTCATTGATCATGTTCTGTGTGTTTCTAAACTGCCGAGTGCACGCCGTTACACACACATGAAGTTTAACAGTGAAATAATTTGTCACATAGCGGCCGTCCTCAGGATGAGTCCTGAACTCCATCAGAGCCGTCGGTAAGTTTTTATTTTCAGCTGAACATCAGATCATCAGTGTGTTTTAAACACCTCAAAGATAATGAACATTTAAAATGTAAAAATCCTCCTATTCACGTTCAAGGCCATCCACAACCTCTCCCCTCCTTATCTGTCCGAACTCCTCCACATCACCAACCCTTCCCGTTCCCTCAGATCTGCCTCCTCTGTCCACCTCTCTGTCCCTCTCGCCCGCCTCGTCACCATGGGGAGCAGGGCTTTCAGCTGCTCTGCCCCCCAACTCTGGAACTCACTCCCACCGGACCTCAGGAACCTGGACTCTCTCACACTCTTCAAATCAAGATTAAAAACTCACCTATTCAGAACTGCCTACCCCACTTAACCATCTACATTGTCTTTTCTTATCTGTTTCTTATTTCTTGCTGGGTTTTTTTTGTGTGTGTTGTACGGTGTCCTTGAGTGCCCAGAGAGGCGCCTCTAATAATTTAATGTATTATTATAAAATGAACTGCTGTTCTACTAGCACTAGTGAGGATGGGAGAGAAACATCAGACAGTTAGAACAAACAGCATTATATCATTTATTTTACACAGTTCTGTGCTTGGAATCAAATTTCATTCAGGAAAAGAGTGATATATTTACAGGAAATATCCTTCAACCCTTCTACATAATGACAGCAAACAGTAGAGTGGTAGATCTGCAGAAACAGGCTGTATATTGGCTCAGTGGGCTATAACACTCCTTTTACAGACCACACAACAATCCCACCATCAGTCTGAAGTTGAGCTCAGTCTTTGATCTTTAACCTTCTCTCCCTGTGACAATCTAATAATATTGATAATTGCAAAATGCTCGATTAGTCATAAAAATATCAAGCTAGGTTAACTGAAATATCAGGAATTCATTTTGAAGTATTTCGATTTGAAAACACAAAATTAAAACAATGGAAAATCCTTTCTGAGTAAATCTTAAGTTTTGTATTAATGTTGTTTCAGAAACAGTAAATATTATCAGCTGTACTCACCAGTGTTTGGCAGAGACTGTGCTGTGTTGTTGAGAAAGGCCTGATGAAGTCAACTTGTTCGTTTGAGAGAAACTGTGAGATTTGTCTCGACTGCGGGTTTGCCTTCACTCAGATTAATGTTTTGTTTCATTTGAAGAATGTGGAATTAAAACTGTTGTGATTTTCCAGTGTTGCTCCGCCTCTTTCTGCTCTACAGGTGAGGCTTTGTTGCCTTTCAGGTCTGACCGGATTAGTGAAGTACTTTTGGTGGATCAGAGGGCAACAACACTCCCTTTAATGTCTCTCTTCAGGCCCAGAATATACCTAACATAAATTCATTGATCAATGTTAAACTTTTAAGCTCACCCATGGAATACGTTGCCACAAAGCACACAGTTACTTTCCAGTTCTTGTAGCTTCAGTGTTTTGGTTGTTGACATAAAAACTCAAACAAATTTCATACTGAAGGCTGAAATGAATAAATCTGTCTTCAGTGCAGCACATTTGCTTTAATACTTCTCTGGTATCATGCACTGTTCTGTCAGTACTAGAAATAAATGAATTCAGTTTAAGGCCCTACACAGACTGCATTACTCTTGCATCAGTTTGTCCTCTGTGTGATAGATGTGGTACAGCTTTCACACTCATTCTAGCAATGTAGATCATTTCTGGTGCGAACATATTTAATTGGTTTTTCAAACAATATGAGATAAACATTCAGCCAGACTGTAATTTAACAGTATTTGTTTGCTCTGAGAGGACAAAGGCCCTTCCCTTCTATCAATAGCAGGCTGTCAAAGCAGGCATGTTTGCAGCTAAATAATCAAATGCTTTCTGTTGCTCTTGTAACCCATATGGTTACTAAGCCCATATATGTTGTTTGAATGTAGTTCCCATGCCCCACCACTAGTGGCGAACCAGCCCTGCATTAATTTTTACTGTCGTTGAGCACGTCATGCTCACGCACATACACCGAGTCATGCTCACTGCGGATACACCGATCCGAGAGCAGCACACCTGCTGAGTGAGGTATGAAAAGTGATGAAAACTCACAAATTCACAATTAATCTTCGCACAGTGTGTTGATAAACCTTTCGTTATTAGGAGAGAGTCTGTGAATGTTGAAAAAAAGAGAGGAGCCGCTACGACCGTGTAAGCCCCTTGTTGGACTCCGGTAAGCACAGAGCTACATGCTAAGATGCTAGGCTTCGGTATTAGCCTGTTGATATTAGCCCATGTGAAGATGTTGCTTACTGAAACACTTTAATAAAACCAGTCGGAGTTATTATCCAATATTTTTACCCACTGTGGATCTGTTGTATCATTGTGTTATGTGAGAAAAACAACTTTAAAGAGATCGTTAACTGCCGAGCTAATGCTTATCGGGGTTAGCTCCGCTATGCTAGCTCAGGTAGCCTGCCACGTGGGCAGTATGGATGCTGGGCCACCACTATGTTGAATGAAGTAGAGATGGAATATGATGATAAGCTGTAAAATGCTGTTCTATTGTACTGTTTGTGTACATAATGTGATTTATCTCATTGTCGTTATTAAATAACTCATGATGATTTAAAAATAGTGAATTAATAAAATTCATTTATGGTTTAAAAGGGTAAAAAAAGGTAAATATACTGAAGTTAAAAGATAAATATTCATTTAAAAAAGCTGTTTAAAAATATAAACATTGCTTAAACACAAATTAAGTCTATTTATGTTAAAAATATGAGTTCATAATGAATAGTTGTGTTACAATCACTACTATAAGTGTGTACACTATCATTTACAATGATTTAAACTGTGTATGTACTGAATTTGATTTGAGAGTCAATATGAATATGGTATTAATGGAATGTGCTTTCTGCACCATGTCAATCAATCAATCAATCAATCAATCAACTTTATTTCCAGAGGTCCAATAAATACACATACCAATACAAACAACGGCACATACACAAACAACAACAGGACAATTAAAAAAGGCAATGATACCAGTGTTTCCACATGGATGACTGGTATCGCACAGTACTAAGACCAGGGTTGGACAGCAGCATAATGATGAGGTTACATGAACCATTCAATCTGCAAATAAATTTGTGCATTAGGTTTCTCAACAGTGCATGGAATGTGTTGACTCCTACCCTACAAAATAGTTCACTGGCACTGCTCCACCTGGGTTTTTTAAGCAGTATACGCAAACCATCATTATAGGCAATCTGGAGCTTCTGGATGCTAGACTTTTTAAACTTGGTCCATAAGGGGGCAGTATACAGAGGAGTACAGTATGCTTTAAACAGGCTTATCTTAACTTTATCTGAGCACCAGTGGAATTTCCTAACCAGCATGTTAGCTTGTGCATATAACATGCGGCGCTGCCTATAGATGTCATCATCATCATACCACATTTGATCTGTGATGATGTGTCCTAAATATTTTGTTTTATTACCTACAGTTAAAACTTGCTCTGCCAGGTAAAATCCTTATCTCCTTTTGTTTTACAGATCAGAACAACACTCTTTTTGCTATTGTATTTAACATCAAATCTGACACCATGCTCAGTACATATGTTCAGCATCTCTTGAAACCCAGCACTGCTAGGAGAAAAGATAGCTAAATCATCAGCATACATAAGGTGGTTTATCAGGGTGTTGCCAACCATGCATCCTGTTTTACTGGCTCTTAGTTGGTCAGATAAATCATTCATATAAATATTAAAAGGGCAGGTCAGAGTAACCCCCCCTGACGAACCCCATTACCCTCGCCAAATGGTGTAGAGACTGCATTCCTCCACTTGACCTGCATGCTCTGGTTAGCATACCAATATGCCAGGATCCTAATTATGCTATTGGGCACACCTCTTTGGCTGAGCTTTGAAAACAACTTAAAATGATTGACTCTGTCAAAAGCCTTTGATGCATCAATAAAGCAAATTAAAACTGAAGAATTCTGTCTTCTATACATTTCCACCACTTCCTTCAGGGCATAGATACATAGATCAGTACCATGCTTAGCCTTGAAGCCAAACTGGTTGTCTGTAGTATCAATATAAAAACTTGGTCTATCTAATAAAATTCTTTCCAGAACTTTGGATAACACACTGGCTAAAGCAATTGGTCTATAGTTATCCAAGCTCCCCACCTTGCCAGCTTTGTCCTTGATGACAGGCACCAAGGTAACAGACAACATGGAGTGCGGCAATAGATCATGAGTCATAAAGCCTGTAAAGCAGATTGCAAGAAGAGCTGCAGCCCTCGGACTTGCAAATTTGAGGTGCTCTGCAGTGATCTGATCTAAGCCACTTGCTTTATTATCAGCTAGCTGTGTAATTGCTGGCAACGTTGCCCACTTTGTAGAGATCACTTTTAACGCAATTGAATAGCTTGGAATAATGTTGCTTCCACAGCTCAGCTATCTTGTCGGCTCCAGAAACTCCTTCAACTGTACATGGTAACGGTGTACTGACCCTGTTCAGTGCTCTCACCTCCTTCCAGAAGCCAGTAACATCGTTTCCAAGAAGCTTCTCAGCCATAGAGTCTGCTCTCATTACTTGCTCATGTTTGCTGATATAACGAACTGCATATTTATACCTTGTGTTGGTAAGCTTTTTGTGGTCCAGGACAGGCCCCTCTCTGGACCTACCTGCCAGGACCCAGGCCTTATATGCATTCTTGGCTTCAGCATGATAAGCACCCACATACTTGTTCCACCCTGGCTTGATGCTCTGTCTTTTTTAGGGTAAGTAAAGCATGGTCTACTGGCCTCGTACACAGCTCCTGCAATACTATTATACATAGTACAGAGGTCCTTACAATGAGAGCTATCATTACAATTCACATCAGAGCACAAAATTGCATCTCTGGGTAGATATACATCCCTTAAAAGACCATCAGTTCTACCATAGTATAACATCACATCTTCATTTGTGAGCTTAGACCAATCCAGCTTAGCCTTACAATCACTATTAACTTCTTGTGATATTTCCGGGAGACTATCACAATCAAGTACCATAACAAAAGGGACATGGTCAGACAAGGATGCCTCATAAACAATCTCCATTGATCTTAAACTAGTATGAGCATCAGCAGTGCTGATGCTGTGGTCAAGCCATGATGTAGAATGCCAGGCCTCACTTATGTAAGAGTAGCTTGCGGCAGGTAGGAGCTTTTGGCTAGATAGTACAAGATTATTATCATCACAAAACTGCAGCATGTGCTTGGCAAACAAGGAACCTTTGTCTGACAGATCAGCATTCGTGTCAGCCACTACATATACACTTGTGGACAGATTGTCAGATATAAAAGAATTTATAAAGGCAAGTCTATTCAAGTATTCATCTTCATTTTGTTGTGACTCATACGGTGTGTACACATTGAGGATGGGAAACTCTTTGTTATTCATTCTTATCTGTACAGCAATACACCGGTCAGCTTCAAGCCTAATGGCATTTATGATTGTGTCCAGCTTTTTGTGCCAAATGATGGCCACGCCCCTGCTATTCTTCCTCTCACTAATCCCATTGATAGGTCAGTAGTGGACTCACCAGCCCCATGGAAATTGTCACTAAAAGAGTTCAATTGTCCTAGGTCCTGTTTAGATAAAAACGTTTCTTGCAGACATAAAATGTCACAGCTTTGCAGCAGGTTGTCAACTACAGTACGTCGGGCTTTGTCTCCTGCGTTGTTGCCCAGGCGTAGCCCACGACAGTTATATGATCCAACCCGCATAAAGTTTACTTGGACAGTGTGGCCGCAACTCCAATCGGTACTCTTGCACTTAGTGAATCAGAGAGAGGCCTAGTTGTACTAGCCCCCAACCCGTCGATTTTGCGTGGTTCAAAATATCGCCTCACAACAGAGCCTTCTGGCCAAAGTTCTGTGTTGTACATTTCCTCAACTTCATTGCACTCTGCAGACACTTTAAACAAGCTGTATCTGTTGCCCGCAGTGACAATGCGTTGACAGTTGACGCTGCGGCCAAGTTGACCACTCAAATATTCAGACAGAGTCTCTGCATCAAGGTCCGGTGAAAATTTGGTGGCAAAAACACTTACCAATTTCGTTCGAATCACTCTTATATTCCCTTGCGCACCGGTACCGACAATAGGCTTAAATACCCTCCGTTCAGGTTTTCCAGCATGCAAGGCGA